CACACCCCATGCCCTGGTTCTTGTTTCCAGGAACCACAGGAGTGTCTGCAGCTGTATCCACCACTGCCAGCCCTGGGGACTCGGCTAGACCTTTCTCAACCTCTGCTAGCAGCACATCAGGTAAGTGTGAAGGAGAAGTCCATGAGTAAATTGTAAAATGGAGAGTGTATATACATCTCAAATTCTATTCTCTGGAATGTGATAAAGAATAGGAAAATCTAATAAGTGACTTGAGGAAGTGAGCCCAATTCCTGACCAATGGTTTATCAGGTAGCTGTGTACCCATTGGATTAGATGGTCTTTCTATAATCTAATGCAATTTTGAGGATGCCTGCGTGTGTTTATGGGCCTTAATAGTTGCAAAACCACTGATTTGGAGTTTCTGAGGCTGTGAGTCTGGAGTGAGACCATAGTTTGTAATTCTGGCTAGAAATTAGAATCAACTACAGAAACCTTTGGGATTTTTCCTTCCCAGTCCCATTGAATATGTAACCCTGGAAAAAGGCCTTTGCATGTGTATATTTTAAAGCCACAATTGGTTCCGATATGCAGCTTAGTTTAGAACTACTATGTTCAACATTGTGAACATTAAAGAAGTAGATAATAAGCAGTGTTATTTGCAAGAATCAGTATGGATTCTAAGTTGAATAAAAATTATGATCAGTTTTTCCAATGATTCAAACAGAAATAAGGCAGTATGTATGAAAATTTGAGATATTTTGAAAGGAGAGATTAGCATGAACTGTACCACTTAATCAAAGATCATATTATTTGTTGTTTGATTTGATACACACTAATGGACCATGAGTTGGCACACAGCCAGATCCCAAAGCAATAAAGTGACATCACCTAAAGGGAACTCAGGTGAATAGAGGATGGCATTTAGAAGTCCTGGCTTTGGTCAAAATGAACCGTCATTTTTGGGAACCCTGCTCATTTAAAGTAAAGTATTTTAGATGAAAGTATTTTAGATGAAGACCCACTTGACCCTTTTCAAGCTTCAGAAACATATCTTTGTTAAATAAAATAAAACAACTAAACCAAAATCTTCAAATAATTAACATTAAAACAAATATCATAGGCAACTCTGGGTACTAAGTGGCTGAATTCTTTTACTCAATTTTTACACATTAGAAGGGATTGGATAGTTAAATCACGCACTGGTAGCAAGGTTCAAATAGACTTTAGGTGAGAGGTTCCTTTGATGTTTTTCTCAGGTGCTACTGGAAAATCACTTCTCATCACCTCCACAGCTGGAAGTGCAGGCACCACAGCCCAACTGAGCCCCAGCTTCACCAGTCCTGCGGACACATCAGGTAAGCCCAGTTCAGAGCTAATTTCACTGGCCAGAGTCAAGGAACTATTTTTTGCAATGTTGCTCAAGATTTTTCCAAATCAAATATCAGATTTAGGAGATAGTTCTTCATATGCAATTAATGTCTTTAGACTTTTAGCAAGTTGCTTTCTTAAATTATGTTACAATTACCCATTCCCACTGTCTGATAATTGTAAGGCTCCATCCAATTGTTTGTTATAGTTTTAAAATAGTTTTGAACTTCATCAGGACAGCTAGAATGTTACCTGGTATAATAGTAGGAAGCAACAATGAAATTACGAGAGCTACGTCTTCCAAACAGGTTAAATAAAGACACGAGGTAGATCCTACGTTTCACCTCAGCAGTTACTCCACTCTGAATAGAACTTAGACAAAGGGGCAGTTGAAGAGTTATACAGATCAATTCCATGACTTTGGGAAACAGTCAATAATTAATCTTTGCAGTTTTATAAAGCATTGATATTATATTTGTAAGGCACATTTAAATTTCTTATTTACTCTCAAATATTTTCTTGTATTGAACAAACTTCACACCATCATGTTTATGAGTCATTCTTTCCATAATATCAGAATATAACTAAAATGTCCATGGTGGCAAGTTTGGTTTAAAAGACTACTGGGGCCTGAGGGCATTAGCTGGTAGCTCAGTAGTCTGACCAGTGTGCAAGAGCTCACACCCAATAAAAACCAAGAAAATATGCTGCTGCTTGTACATCAGTTGCTAAATTAGGTCCAGCAATAAAATATTATTAAAAATATTAAAGCATATATGATTATATTGAATACAAACACAACTAAATTAACAACTGTCCCTCTTGCTGTCAGTTAGTTAAACATTTTAAAGAATTTAAAGTGTCTGCTCCTTGCATTCCATTTTCCTGTGTTTTATTTAGGGTGTTAAACCCTTTCCTCCAGTCCTTGCAGTCATCTGCCTAGCTCACCTACTTCCTCTAATACCATGGTGCTCAACAGTGTGGTATCTGGACTAGCAGCCTCAGAATGCTGTGGGATCCTGTTAGAAGGGTACATTTCTGGGTCCAACTGCCTAGAATCAGAAAGTGTTGGGGCAGAACCCAGAAGACTGTTTTAACAAGTATTATAGGGAATCATTAATCCAGTTGGAGAAGTAGCTTTCCATAATTCCCACTCTTCCAACTTTCCTCCCAGGTTTCACTGAACCTATGTCACCTGCCCATTTCCCATTGCTCAATTATCAACCAATTTCTGCAGTATTTAAAGTGCTTAAATATTTCTAATTTTTAAAGATAAATCAAAACTTCATATTATTTAGAGGCATTCTTCACATGTATTCACAGGATGTTTGCCATGATTTTATCATCACATCCATGGGCTTACTTTGTTTTTTTCCTACAGTTTTTGGTTAGCTTTGATTTAAAATTTATGGCAAATAGTGATTTGAAAAAAATGTTTTTTTTTAATATTATAAATACAGGGTTAAATGATTTAGTTTACACATAGCAGGACAATAAACTGGGTAATTCACATTCGATCACTAAACTTATCAAATTTTTGGAGTATAACAATTTAGTTTATATTCAGAAAATTTTGAATCAGAATTAAATGGCATCAATGACATCTCAATAAGTGGTCTCTTTGTCATCACACAATAAGTCCCATGATCAGAAAGAGGTTACTGAAAGTTTGGTGCCCTAATACATATTCTCAGACCACGTGAAACAGAATAAAATTTGGTAAATGTAGCATTTTAGCACTATCATCTTCTAACTGCTGAACAGAGTTGTACATATTACATGATCTTTGTTTAAGAAGATCTAGATTTATAATTATTTTATTGTAATTGTCCTTTATAAGTGATTGTTTTTAAAAGAAAGCTTCTAGCATAAAAGAAACAGTAAAATTAGTCTTTGCATCATCAGTTGAGAAGCATCTGACTAAAGGAAGTTTATGAGGTTAAATGATGTGATTGATGCAATTTGAAATGCTATTTTTCATCAGTAGGAACAGGAAGCCAAAGTGCAACAACCCCCAGTGGGAAGGAGGGCAGTACACCCAGGGAATCCAGCACTGGAGCTACCAGCCGAGAGAACTCAGGTAAGTTAGGATGTGCACTTAGTGAATATTATTGGGTAGAAATATGGAAGCATGTAGGCATGGAAATGTACATGGAGATTGAAATTTGTCTTAATCTCCCAATCTCCTGCTTCCGAGGAACTAGCATAAATTGCAAGAATTGCTACTCTGTTTATCAGGTACAACAGGAGAGTCCTTGAGATCAACCTCAGGAGCAGGCAGTGCAAGTACACCTGCAACTTCAGGCACTGGGGCCACCAGCACTGGAAGCCCAGCAGGTAAGACAGAGCCTCCTTAGGGACTGTGGTGAGGTCTAATCCAAGTTTTGTCAAGATCTCCGAGTGTGAAAATAAGCACAGGGACTGAAACAATGGAGAATATGGAAGGAACTGATGACTAGAAAAAAACCATGGAATGTGCTGGCATGAGCTTTTCTTCCTTCCTCTCTGTACACTAAGCACTATTTTTTCTCCAATTAGCAACAAGAGGAGCAACTGACAAAGCCACCACTGTCTCTGCTGGTGAAAACACACCTGGAAGGACAGGTACTGAGGGAGATTAAGGAGCATGAAATCCATGCAGTAGACATGTGAGCCCTGGGCTCAAATTTAGTCAGAGATAGGGTTTCCTGGGAGTCTCACCATTGTTATTTATATGATACCAGAAAGAGAGTGTGTGTGTGTGTGTGTGTGTGTGTGTGTGTGAGAGAGA